GACGTCAACTATTTCACAGTTTGACTAAATGCACTCTAAGATATAAGTATGATACGTTATTATTTTTTCCATATCCATTTCAATATTTTGATTCTACAATAAATGCGCAAAAAGGTGCCAGGTATTTTTGATATGTACGTTTTGTTGAAATCATACTTGATCAAAGTTGGCAATGCTGAACCTAAATAAATGTATAACATTAAATGGGAAATACAGGGAATGTCAATGGTAATACATGGGCATAAATCAAGGTTGTTCTTATACGTGATCAAACCTTCAGCCACTTCGGGTGGGTCACTCATTTTTGTGCTTGAAAATCTGGGTGGTTCATGTAATTATGTGCAAAAATATGAGGGTGGGTCAGAGGAAAATAATCGTGCAGTTATTCTTTATTTCCAGCCAACCCCCCACCCCCTGTATTATATGACCAGTCCCTAAGACCTGAAATGGCTGCTTTATCAAACGCTATCCTGGAATTAAACAGAAAGCTCTCTAATGTAGAGACTCCTCTTGTCAGAAAGGATGGTGACAGAGGAAAACGACCTGCTAGTCAGGACAAAACGGTTGAGGAAGGGTGTTGCTAATGTGCGAGCCACCATAGAATACACATATACACATGGAATACGTATGAATATTGTAAATAATAAAATTGCAGCATTCACAAGGATTAGGATTTTTATTGAACCAAAACCTAAACTTGTACCTATTAGGGTGATTTTCTCAGCAACCAAATATTAAAAATGTTAAAAAATATATTAAATACTGAATTTTGGAAATAAAAATGAAACGTTGCTGCGACAATTTCAGTTGATTTTTTTATTACAGCTTCAACTTTCATGAACATATTTTTCAAGAAGTTCTGCGTCGTCCGCAGAAGTATCAAATGCAAAATCATTGACAGCCTCGGGATACAGGAAAAGACTCCTTGATGTCATCACAACAGAGTGCTCAGCAGCTGTTCTCGAAGCTGCTGAAATACATCGTCAAGCTCGAGGTCAGCGAACTGTTGGTAATGGACCAACAGCGGTAGAACGAGAAGAAAAAGAGCGCAATAACTCAATTGTTGTTGTTGAGGCTTGTGCATCTGCTGTAACTTCTATTAGGCCAGGCCAGGAGGAGGAAAGTTTCGAAGAAGCGCAGAGAGCGTACAGAGTGAATGTCAGGGACAGTCATCCTCAGACAAACGTAACGAAAACCGGCGACAAACCATCAGTTGGTAAAAAGCCCGACGACCATATGCGTAAGAGTGTTCGATTCTTCGAAAAATACGTCGAAGGAGTGACAATGGATGTTTTAAAATGCACCAGCAGCTTGACTGAATTTCATTTGCAAGTCCTGGACACTATGCCATGTCAGGAAGATGTAACAATAAGAAAAGACATGACCCATTGCACATCACCACAGTGCAAAAAAAAAAAACGTACTCGAAGAGTGTATGTGTCTACTGCTGATAGATACACAGCAACATTTTTGAATCATGTATATGTAGAATATTCACTTGCAGGTATTCAGGGCTTAATATTCTGCTTACGGAGCTCAGTTATCCCTTTAAAGGGCTCAAATATTGTCACTGTAACAATCTTAGTCAGTTTCACATCGCATCGTTTCTGAAACAATCGTTCATGAAGCGACATTGTTGACATGCTTCGTGTAGCACAAACACGCCAATTGAGTGGTCGTTTTTTTGCGATAAATTCTTTCTAGATATTGCACTTTTTATAGCACAGTTGTTCAATTTTGTGCTGTGCGCAATCACAGACGAATATCAGCTGAACGATACAAAAGCATAGCTGCAATCACTTACTAAAGAGCAAGGAAAGGATTCGATGTGAAGTTTAACCCTGATAGCCGTTGGTCATATACTTTTTACAAGGGACTAGATGTAATTCAACTTAAAGGTGGCAGTAATAAAATGATTCTGAATAGAGAGGACCAAGCGGGTTTCAGGCTCGATAGTAACTACACACACAAGAATCATAAGGCTCTCTATATAAGATACAATCCTGAACTAACATCTCATTCAGCATGTGGGCCAAATTCAAATTCCATCCTATATATTTATGGCAACAGAGAATACGGGATAAGTGTCGGGCAAGAGTCATGAAGGCTCCTGATGTTTTACACGAAAAAACACCAACTTAGCATCAGGCCGATTTGTATTTCTTGAGAGAAAAAAACAGAATTAGACGTGTGCTTCGAAGGAAAGATAGTTGATTGTGTCAGAGTCGACAGAGGGACGGATGAAGGTCCAGCACATTTAGAGGTACAGTTTAGGTGGACACAGTGGCATCTTAAGGAATTTCTCATTAAAGGGATCATACCTGTCATACGTATGACAGATAAATTGCTCAATGCCAAATCTTTGGATTCTGATGAGTGTCAGCAGCTGAAGAAGCAGGGACTTGAAGCAATTTCACTTTTCACTTATGCTTCTTATGAAATAAATATTCAGCGACGTCTGCTAGTGGCCAGACATTGGTAAAGAATATGCTTCCCTTTGTTAGTTTGTTGGATTACTGACTATGCTCTGAAGTGGATCTCCTCATACCTCAGTAACAGAACTCAGCGAGTGTATCTTGAAGGGTGCAATTCTGAAGTTTTTCCACTACCTTATGGTGTTCCGCAGGTTCTTGCCCTGGACCGCTCCTGTTTACAATCTACACAAATGAGTTGTTTGATGTTCCCCATGGACGACTGCCTGATGTTCAAGTGTACGCTGATGACACGCAATGGTATTTATCGTTTCGATCGAACTCTGTACCTGATCAGAATGATGCAATGGCTGCCATGGAACAATGTGTGAATGCTATTTGCAACTGGATGCTCTCAGAGAAACTAAAACTAAACGATGACAAAACTGAATTCTTAATCATTGGAACTAAAATGCAGTTGGAAAAGATCAGCGTAAATCAACTAAATATTGGTGAAGTTAAAATCACGTCAACAGACATTGCCAAGAACTTAAGAACATGGTTTGATACAAATGATTACCGACCTTATCAAAATCCATCGTTTTCAGTCTGCATTATCCCAACGAATGCATAGAGGAAAATCAGACATTCATTATTGGCTTTGTTTCTATGATAAACAAGCTAGAAAGAAAACAACTGGATTTTGATAAGAACAATAATTATACTAGATAATCACTTCGGCACGCAGCATTCGTAGGTATAATATAATTATACCTACGAATGCTGCGTGCCTCAGTAATGATCTATTAAATATGTGTCTTACAACTCAAATTTGTAGAACTTGCAGCGCTGCGTTTTATCATATAAACAATTTAATGCGCATAAGAGAATCTGCTAGAGAATCTGCAGAAACTTTAGTTCACGCATTGATAATTGGTAGAATAGATTACTGCAATAGTCTTCTCTATGGGCTTCCCGCCACTCATTTAAATAAGGTGCAAAGAGTACGACAGCAGCTAGGCTTGTTTGTTGTGCTCCTCGTTTTTATCATATAAAACTATTTTAGTTTCTTTACACTGGTGACCAGTTAAGTTTAGAATTAACTTTAAAATACTAGCTATTACTTTTAATATTTTTTTCTTGTCTATTAGATCGTACAGAGTATAAATGAGTTGGTTATAGGCGTTGAAAATGGTTATTTTGCATTATGCATCTCATTAGATATTTGTATATATGTGCAAATGTATACTACAACGCTTCTGCAATCGAGTGTATATACATCATATATATATATATGTAATTTGAATTTTATCTCTACATATATTATTTATTTATTTATGTTCTTCATCATTTATTTAGGCCATCATTTTCATAGTACATATCATATTTGAATTTTATCTATAATTTGCTTTTTTTTCTAATGTGATTTTTTAAATATTTATATTTATATTTATATTCTAAGTCTAGATAATGCGCAGTTCATCATATTCACATGTTAAAGTCGCGCTTTATAAAAATCAAGTATTATTATCATTATCAAATAAATATTATTAATTGTTATACAGCTATGAAATTTTCCGATATAACGAACACTCTCATTGGTTAAAAGATGACCACGTGACACTAGTTAAATCTAAATGTTTCCCGGTCGGCAAATAAGTTGCACGTGACAATAATCGTGGCAATAAACAAGTGCACGTGATCAGAACGTGCAGTCGCTGATGGCGTTATATTTTGCACCAATCAAAAACATCAGATGGGGAGCAGACATCTTGCTTGAATTTTCATTACAAATGGAGCTCGAAGCGAAACAATAGAGATTTTCCAGTGTTTCTACAGAGAAATTACAGATTTTTATTGAGAAAAAAAAATTTGGAAAATACGAAAAAAGCGACTAAAAATGGTGTTGCTACTTTCCTCGCTTTTTGGTAGAGAAATACAAGACCGTATGTGAGTTGTATTTGTAAAATCATGGTCAGTATTCATGCATTTAGCTTGCTAAATGAAGTTCTTATTTCGTTAACTGACTTCTCAATATTTCTCAATTGCTATATGACGAAACACTTAATGTCTGGTCCCTCGGCTTCTCTTCGTAAAACATTCGTTCCCTCGCGACCAGACATTAAGGTGGCTCGGTATTTCCAAATGGCCGAATCGCTTATGTCGATACTCATACCTTTTGCGCCCTTTAAGCAATCGCTATAAAACTTTACCAACATCTAAAACAATCATTTACTTATAATATGGTATATTCTGCTTGCATTTCAGGTTAATAAGTTGTAAGATGTAAGCGATTAAGCAAATGCACTGTTTTCACAAAAACTCGATTTTGCGAAAAATCTGTCCGTTTATTTCGACGACAATTTTGGGATGCTTTTAGGTAAACATAACACACAACCTGGCCAAGTTTAAAGAAATTACTTGGCGCTGAAATACCGCTACAGAAAGCTCACCTAAATTCACCATTGTCATGGATAATCTTTTAAAGTTGTGAACTAAATAGTCTTTGACTATACATGCTTGAAAACCATAGTTTTTAAAAAGTAACGGCAAGTTAACATATATCCAAATGTCATACCGCGATTGCCAGTAGACCTTTTATTTTTAGGTCAARTGTCTCATGCACTTTGCAGTACCACTTTAGGGAATGTATTGTTATTCATGCACTAAGGTATSACGTTACTCTCGATTTAACACCTTTACGCTTTCAACATTTGTACAGTTTTAATTAATCGTGTTATCAAGTTCAGTTCCAAGTTAATATTAAAGGAAAGATAGACTAAAACACAAGTAAAGAAAAGCATTTATTATCCGTCTAATGCAATAAATATCTCCTGACAAAATTTACTCCGTATCTGAAATACATTGCCACTTTTTCACAGCCTTCTCGTGGGCAAGAGCAGCCCTTGTTACAGCATTCGTCATCGCGGGCATTAATGACATCAAATCGTCGATTTGGTCGGCCTTTTTCTTCCTCTTTGATCTCTTCTGTTTTACTTTTAAATCAAGAAAAGATAACGCAGAATTAGATAACGCTAGCACCGTTTTTGAAAACTCCACATTGTTTGGTAGTCCGCTCGCCCTCTGACAAACTTTAAATATCATTCATACACCAACCTTCATTTTTATGATCCCCATCGCTGTCATCAAAAGGATCAACTATTTTCTCTTTTTCTTGTTGCCCCTTTCGTTTGACCCACTCGACTACTTCTTTAGCCTTTCTTTTTCCTTTTGATAACAGAAATAGACCATCCCTGCCAAATTTATTGCAGTCGCTCTCCTTGTCCTTGCTTTCTTCTTCGGAATTACCTCGGTACAAGTGCTCTGGCTCGACAACCTTGCTATTTGGCGGCAGTTTACTGTCGGAATTTGATGCTGTAGTACACGACTTTTCATCCTTTAGTTCTCCTCTACATAAAAAATAAACAAAGAGCGCACCTCCATTACATTTAGAAAAAAGCCTATTATAGTTCGAGTTGCTATAAACTACACTTACGTTTCTTTCATTCTCCGGAGTATTCTTCTTCTTGCTGCTTCTCTTGTGGGGCATCCAGTTTTTCCTACAGATGTGTCCAAGTTTGTTTGCCATAAGCTGAACATACCGTAACACTCTGGAAGGCAGCTGTCCAACGTTATGTATAGCTTCTTTTACTATGGCAAGTTCCAACATTTTGCTTAAATTTGGTGCCGTTTCTTCAGCACTTCTCGTACTGGATTCTTTTCTCTTGTTTCTTGCTTCAGATGAGCTACTCCTTTTCAGTTTCATTTCGTCATATTCCTTTGGATTGGTAATAACGGGCGTCCCTTTTAGTGCCGCCTCTAAAAATATGTTTCTTTCGCCTTCCATTTTTCTAAAGCCAATGTTCTAGTTGCATTGGGACATGATAAGCAACCTGTATTTATACTCATATTGTGAACGCATRTTTTTATGACTCATACCAAGGTGACAACTAAATAATTTCTCAAAGGATCAACAATCATACGATGCAATTTGGTCCATTCTTCTTCGACGTCTACTTTATTCAGCGGCAATAGTCTAATCACTAGCTCTAATCAGGAACACAAACAAATGCTGAAAAATTTGTCAGTTTTACTAAAAAATCCCATTAAAGTTGACGAAAAGATAAATTGTGTGAATTGTTGTTGTCACGTTTTTCAGGACAAATGGGCCAATACCTCTTTTGTATTCTTGGTACATCTTTTTGTTAATCCCCGATAGACTATAAACCTTCGTTCATAATATTTACAKGACATAACCTTTGAAGGTCTGCCATGACTCCTCCCGTTTTTCCGTCCTTTTTCAGTAATACTGTCTTTATAGTTCTTGGCCTTTTGAAAATTCTGAAATGGAACAACAACAACTTTCCACMTTTTCCAATGAATTTCATGAGTCAAGTAATCTTCTTGCTCACGTGTCTTATTAATGTCTTGGATTCATACAGTCTTGGTAACGTCCTTGATCGCCTCGGTCTTTCTGGACTTCCAGAGCCTAATGGAGGTCATGATTACTACAGCAAACTTGCTTTGGCTCCCATAAAATTCTGGTACCTTACTGGTGAGACATTGGAAACATTTGAAGAACTTTTTGTCGAAATGAGATGGCCAATCATTTTATATGACTGCGCAAACCGTCGCAGGATTCGAGTTCAACGATTAAACATCAAAAACAGACTACTCCTTGTACTGATATGGTTACGACGATATCCAAGGTTGCAGACCCTTGGAGCGAAGTTCAGAGTTGACCTTACTTATCCTTACTTATACCAATAAAACAATACATAATGTCGTTCCTCTTTTACTTGACCACTACACAAACGAAGTTCGATGGCCCACAATAGCAGAATGGAATTCATGGGTGGGATACTGGGAGAAGTATCCTTCCTGTGTTGGCATCATCGATGCAACAATTCATGAAATATGGAGGCCGTCCTTAAGACAGGCAAGTTTTTACCGCGGTGACAAGAAGAGGCATTTCATGTCAAGCCACATAATCATAACGCCAGATGGATTGATTGTTCACTGTTCAGCAGCGTAAGCATTTTAATTTTATACTTTTTATTTTTGTGTTCGTGATAAGGATGTCGGTTTATTTGACATGAGAAGAAAGATTTAAATATGTTATGTTATGAATCTATTGAGTAATTTATAATGGTGTTATCGCCCAAAAATTAGCATCATCATCATTGTCATCAAATTTATTTTCCTAGATTTCCTGGACACCTTAATGACATTAACGGATTTAATATGATGCCCGATATTGGCTGGCGATGGCACCGCGGAAATACGCTTACGATCACTCTATTGTACTGGTCAGCGGCGTCTCAAAACAACTCACAAAATGGCGGACATTTTATGAAATTTTTGACTTCGAAAAAGTAACTTAAAGAAGGGAGAAAAACAAATCTGTATCAATAAAACTGTTTACAAATGCCAATGACTCTTTTATTTGTCCATAGACCAATATATAATTATGCTTGATAAGCAAAAAGCGCCTTTTTTCTAAACGAAATAGCGATAATTTCTCGAGCATATCCACATTACACCGAGCATTCAAAGCGCCATCTTAGTAAAAACTTACATATATAAATTGTCAAAACTTAGCCAAAACAAACAATACTTAGATCTGTAAGTCAAGAGACTTTTAGACAGATAGATTTTACATCATATATACTTTGCACAAGAAACTTAATGCTTGCACACATTATGAACTAGAGTAATAAAGTTGAATGACAACAAAAATACTTTTGTCGCCATCAATAGATCGGCTGACGACAGCACTTGTTGTGATTTTTTAGTGCTGATTGAAAACATGCTGTGTTATTTTGCCAAAACTAGACAGTTATCACAGGATTGTAGGGGCATATTAAGAAAATCAAACAGTGAAATTCATAGATGTGGAAAAATCCCCTATGTTTAACGACTTTGTCAGCATCATTTTGATAAAATACGGCGAAACAACAACAAAAGATGTTCATGTCCATCAACTTGGGGACATTCAAAATCCTTACATCCCCACCAAATTCCCCAAACTTACCACTCCATATTAGATCAGGCTGGCAAAAATGACCCCCAATATACACCTGGCCCTAGATGGTGCAATATATGTCATAAAGAAGCACCAAAAAGGTTCATTGATGCAGATATTGGTTCAGAAAATATTACACCTCCCAAACAACAAAAAGTAAGTCTTGCTATTAAAGTTTGACAATAGTATTTTAATTTATGTTTATATATTCATATAAGACTTCAAAAAAACTACTTCGAAACATCTAATGAAAGGTCAAATAAATATATAAATACATACACACTTATCTATAGTATTACTTTTTTATCAGTAATTATCATTAAAACTTAAATAACTTTGAAAAATAAAAATATCATAATTGAATTAATTTACACAGTTAGTTGGAACAACAGACCAGATACATGAAGATAAAGAAAATACAGATATATCAAGTCTGCAGGTAGGGATCAATGAAAATAATGATATATATGTCATTGCATTAATATAATTATGTTCACTGAACACTTTTGTAATGACCTATAATTTTTATATTTCAAGTCTCAGCAAGAGAACCAATGTGACAGAAAAGAAGAAAGTGAAGAAGAAGAAATCAAAGTCAAAATGAGCACCTGGAAAAAGATTCAATCAAAATTAGAAGGTACATATTATTCTATTGAGAATTACACAAAAAATCTATTTGATAAATGAAAGCATTTTTATTGATAAACTTCATTACTTACATGATTCAATCTTGTTTCAATTTAAGAGCCAACATTTGAGGACAATTTGAGAAAATTGGGCACAATAGTTGACAAGCACAAGGACCGACAATCACTGGTGGGGCATGACAACATGAAGGCATTGGTTATGCAGCATGTACCAACACTATACACAACGTTACTTAATAGTATATCAAGTGAAAGACATGGAGAGAAAAAGGTGCACATGCAAGAAAGGAGAGTTACATCACTTATCTGGCATTTACTATACTACAGGTAATAATTCCTATACATATTTTTTTTACCCTTGATATTAACACTTAATTTGATTTTAACATGTACATATTATGCATTCAACAGGAATCAAAGACATGGCAATTTCCAAGATGAATGTGGGATATTTTTGGAATTACAAGGTTTATCATCTATAGGACTCTCAGCCGGAATAACCTTGGGATTTGCCCGAAACCCAAAAACAAAAACATTGAAGAAACATGAGATTTCAAATGGCTATATAAAAAAAGTTCAAGATAAACTTTATTCTGTTATGAAAAAGGTACATTACTTAGTCATTCTAACAAAAAAAGCAAAACACAAGACATAACAACTTTTTTTAAAGATCTAATTCAACTTATTATTATGACATGATCCCTAATTAAAAAAAACTATTCTTTGTAGCATCATATCAGCATTTAATCATTATTGTATTACATGTATGTGTTGTTTTTGAAACAATTCATAACATATAGTTAAACTGCCAATATTAAATAAATCTTTCTTTTATAGGGAACCTTTCTTATTTTGATGATTGATGACTTTCACAACATAAATGCAATCAAGACACCACAGGGGAGACAGATATCAAATGCTGTTCACATGGCAAGCATCATGTTGGATATCCACCAGTACGAAGCAGTCAAGTCAGTGAATAAGGTTCACAGAGAAGTAACAGTTCATATATCTGGAACACAACCTCAACGATTAATATGCAAAGGAGGAATCTGCAGTCAAGCTGTTGTACAAGAAATCAGTGCAGCATGGTCTCAGTATTGTCAACACACATTTCTGGAGGGCCTTCCTGCAAGTTACAAACAGATAAATCCTTGTTTGCTGAGGAAATCCTTGAAAGAACTCAGGTATGCATCAAATTATAATCATGCAACATTAAGTAAGCACAACTGGGGGATATAAAAATTTTATTTACAATAAAAATTATACAACAACAGAGTCAAATAATAAAATACTTAGCATAACAAGTGAAAACACAGTCTATATCCTTACAATACCATTCCAATAATTAGCACGAAATAGTACTAGTCGAAAAAGTAAAACTATTAAGTACTATAAGTACTTATGACACTGGATGACTCTAATATTTTGTATCCCATGCCCATAGCAAGGGAGTTCAATATTATTGTCATATTATTTCACAGAGTTTATGCAAGAGAAGACCAATCCC